ATTGTGCACGAAACGTGTAATATCAGCCCCAATAGTATGGAATTTTGCATATACAACCAAATTAGGCCTGAAAATAAGTATGCCAAATTTGATAGAAATCGGTTCAGATATAGCGATAGCTCCCATATATATTGTTCATCCGATTTCTTATTTTTGTCCTCCGCAGCCGTAATATGCACTCTGTACAACAATATTTGGGGAAATATATCAAAGTAGCTCAGAAATACCTTTGCTAAATTTTATTCGAGATCGGGTTCAGATTTGGATATAGCACCCATATTAACTTCGTACGATTTTCTTTTTATTGTGCCCCAAACGTCTCATATTTGCTCAAATGGGATGGAATTTGGCACATACGACCGAATTGAGTCTAGAAGGTAGTATGCCAAATTGGTGAAGATCGGTTCAGATATAGCTATAGCTTCCATATATATTGTTCATACCGATTTGTTATGTTTTTTACACAGCTGTAATATGCACTCCTTAAGTACGATATTTAGGGAAATATATGAAATACAGCTCAGAAATATCTTTGCCAAATTTAGTCGAGATCGCTTCAGTTTTGGATATAGCTCCTATATATATCTTTATCCGATTTCAAATTAATTGTGCACCAAATTGCAATACAAGTCCGAATTTAAAGATAGAAATGCTTCGCATATTTAGTCCATTGAACTTTAAATTATAATTATAATCATAGCGGGAATTCTCCTATAAAAACTTTTAATTGTTATGTTGAGCTCTACTAAATTAACAAAGCGGTGTAGGGTATCATATAGTCGGCACCGCCCGACTTTAAGACTTTCTTAACTGGTTTTTTATTGTATAATCTTTCTGGATTGATATCGAAGATATGGTAGAGTTCAGACCATTCCTTCTGGTACCTCCCCGACAAAGAGTAAAGTTTGAATAACCAAAACAATTATAAAACTCGAAATAATCATCCGGCTCTCTTCACATGATATAATTATGTACAATACTCGTTGTATCAGTGCAGATCAGTTGCAAAAATGGACAGCATCGGGTCACACCTTTTAGTACCTCAACGAGAGGGTTACAATTTTAATAACCATTACTCGTATAAAATATAAAAAAGAGTAACCTTGTATCTAAGCTTCATTTCATACTTCAACAAACTCTAGATATGATGTGAAGATGGAATGTAGCAGACCACTCCAGCTGTTAACACACTAATAGCTCATAATTGCAGCACCCCTCCTACATTTTATACTAAATTTATCAACATTAAGTACTTTTTGTACAAGTTATGGTTCTGAAAACACTCCCTTTTACTTCTATTTTATTCTACCCATGGTACAATGAATTCAAGTAGGGCAGAACTACCATATGATTTCAATTTTTTTATTTTTCTGGCTTAATTTGTCAACTTCATTTGTTTATGTGTGCGTATTCTTTTCAATAATTAAAACAAATGTTCAGAAAATATTCAAATTCGGGTGTTTTCAAAATGCTTATTGCAACGTATGTATCGACAAGTCTACAGTTTTTGTCGCGAAATAAACCATAAGAGATATATAGAACATGATTTTGAAAGAAATTTTGACCTTTCATTCAGTTTCGCGGCTTTAAACTATTTATTCAAAATCAATGCAACAAGTTTTTTGCTTTTTTTTTTTGTTTTGATAGTGATTCTGACATTACAACCCAAACAGGTAGACCTCTATACTTGCAATTTTTTCAAAGTTAGCCTACCTTGTATTCATTGTAACATGATTCTACCACTCAGTACTTTTCTTACGCATTATAGTATAAATTTCCAAATGTATCTCCTTATCTAAATGCCACCTGCGAACAGTGCTCTTAATATCAAAATGCACAATTCTAGTTCTCTTATGCAAAATTTAGTACCAATTTGTATTTTTCGCTCACTATATGGTACGATTTTTCAAATCCACCTCCACGTCCTGAACGTTACACACTCACAGTGATCCCTATAACAATACCCAGAATTGTCGGGTCTTTCCTGCATTACTTATCAAATATTTTATCCATTTGGTACTTGTCGCATACAGTGTGTTTCCTAATCTCACCTCCTTATTGCTACACCCTCGCATTTATTCCAAATCCTACACGCAATCGGCAACACTTATTCCAATTTTAGAATTTAGTACCGTTGAGTATAGTTTGAATTTACAAAAACCCAGCCTTATTTCACCGATGCACACCAACATTGAGCCACATAAAATTTCAAGATTCTAGCTTCAACCAGGTTCGTCAGGGCGTTGATGAATCAATCAGTTTGTCACCCTACTCTTTTATACATATATGTATATATACATATCGATTGTTTTTATACCCTCCCTAAATATTCGTCGTAGACCCCATAAAGAATATATATTCGCAATCAGCATAAAATTCTAATTCGATTTAACGATGTCCGTCTGTCCGACTACCTGTTGAAATCAAATTATTTGACGTAGAGCGAATTTAAAATTTAGCAGAACATTTTGTATTGTGTCTAGAATGGTTGGCACTGAAAATGAGAAATATCGGTCTACGTTTTGGTATAGTCCTCATATTACATTTCCTCCCGGTATTCGGTATTTTGATGATTTTTGCAACATTTTTTTTCACGGATTGTCTAAAAATTGGTATTTGTGGGTCATAATAGGTTCTAGCTCGTGTGGCGAAACATTGTATGTATAGATCAGTTTTTTGGTTTGGCCACCATATAACGGTACCTCCCGATATTCGGTATTTGATGATTTTTGCCACATTTTAATAATAGGTTCTGCCTCGTGTAGCGAAACATTGTATGTATTGGTCCACGTTTCGGTATAAGCCCCCATATAACGGAACCAGCCCGGATTTGTCTAAAATTGGTATTTGTGGGTCATAATGGGTTCTAGCCCGATGGCAAAACATTGAATATTTAGTTCCACGTTTTCCTATAGCGCACATATAACGATACCCACCGATATTCGGTATTTTGATAATCCTAGTCACATATACCCACAAAATTTTTTTCAAATTTGATATTTAGAAGATTTGATAGATAACAATCCTAGAAGTATAGAATTGTCTACAGGGGTTCCCATTTTGTTATGGGCTCATATAACGGCCTCACTCACTCTTGTTTTTTATAGGTTCGACTGCATTATATGAAGTTTAAAGTTCTTGAATTCAGATACTTTTATATAAAAATGTTTCCTTTACCCTGAGGTGGAGGGTATTAAAGGGTTTAAGGTTTTCATTTGTTCTTGTCGCACAGTGTAATTAAAGATATTTTGTAGCTCGAGGGATATCTTAAAAGTCTCTAAGTTACTGAATATATCAATGCTATCCATTTTTAATTCCTTTAAGACCGCTCGGCCATATGGAAGACAAACGGGCCACATTTCACGTTGATCAAACATGTATGTGTTTTATTTGTTCAAACACGAAGGGCCATGTAGATTTCCTAACATTGAGAATGGATAAAAAATGCATTAGTCACTAAAAACAAGTGGGCATGCAGCGCACAGGTGTCATCGACAATTACAAAATACGCACAATTGCATATTATCCACTATCCGGTCACCAAGTATGACCAACCACAGCTCTGTTACAGTAACAGTCACCAAATAAAACTCACTCAAGAGTAAATCAGCTGGGCATCTCTGATACAGCGCATGCTCCCATCAAACCGATTCTGTGGATGCTGTGTGCCCAGTTCATCCGTTTTTGCAGAAGTCATTGAACATGGCTGTGGACTGGTTGGATGCTGCATGTTACCCATCTGTTCATGACTGGCGAAACTGGGTGACTGTTTGTAGTTCAGTAGAATATTTTCAGTTCGTTTTAGAATTCAAGGATACACGTACGCACAACGCGCGTAGCCGGTCGTCGTTACCAAACCGAATTCTAGACTCTGTGTGGATAATTGAATTCTGTTCAGCTCAGCCATTTAAATTTATTGCCAGTGAAAGTCGGTTCGTTCGCATGCTATGGATTTAATGTCGATGGCGTTGGTGTTGTTGCCGACCAAACAACCAGCCAACAGCTCTCCTTGTGTGTAGTAACATACTTGTGTCAAGTTTGTCGTGAATGAAAACAAAAAGGAAACATTAAAACGTAACGCTCATCTTAATTTGAAATAGAAATTCAAGGATAACATCGAGTGGATCATTATCTGGTCTAGTTTATGGTAATTCATACTTAAATTGAGTGTGTCTTTTAAAAAATCTATGGAGATGCTGCCATTAAAAAGTCTCTTCAAGTGAAGGCAAATACCACTGTCTCTTCGCTCATTAATATCCTTAATTGAGATATCCTTTTTTTTTTGTTGGTGCCAGCGCATTCCAGATGCCAGAGGCTAAGTGTCAAATGAAAACAAATAGTGCAAAATGTAAAGGCAAATACAAAAAAAAAAAACAAATGCAATTGTTGTTGTTTTTGTTGTTGTTGTCACACAAAAAGAAAATAAAATAAGATTTAACAATGTGTTCTCCAATGAAAAAAATGAGGTTGAAATTTATGTGGCAAAATGGTGTCAATAGTCAAGTTGAGCAAACAAATAAAACGAAAGTGAAAACATGCAGCAGCAGCAGCAGCAGAAGATAATAACACAAATGGAGAATGGATGCAGTGCCACACCATCGAAATGAATGAATGCACAAAATGGGGAAAAGTGTGTCAATGAAAAAGGAAAAATATAAGAAAAAGAAAAAACACACACACACACACCAAAAAATATATAGAAACCCCATTTGAATGGAATTGAAATATGTGGCGAAATGTGAAAGTGAATTGATTTGTGTGTAACTTCGGTGATATGTCGCAGTTTGTAAAAATAATAAAAAAACGGCAAAAAAAAAAAAGGCAAATGGAATTACACGTTGGTACAATGGAATAACCACAAAAGGGATTGAGTTTAAGGGAAACAGAAAATATTTTTGAATTTTTTTTTAATAAGTGCAAAATGATCTTTAAGATAATAATGGCGATGGTATTTAATGTCACCATAAGGATTATGCATTAATCGGAAAAAAAGAAATTTGAATATAAACAATTTGTGCTTTTTTTAATAAAATTCAGGGTTATACAAATCCAATGGGACTATCAAGAGTATCAGATATCTGCTGAACATATATATGATCAATTGTTATCTTTGAATTTTGGTGGCCGGAGTTGTGTACCTTTTATCCATAGGGCTGAAAATGAACTTTGATAAAAAATTATATCTTTTATGCGTACAGAGGGTGTATCATTTAATATTGCCAAAAAGTGCCTCATAGAAATAACGGGCTTAGGTATTAAGTCTTTTCGAACAAATTTCATATCAGGACATTTGGAGTCGATCTTGCGAAGTCCGTCAGTCTGTCTCAGAACAAGAGAATATTTGCCTCATAGAAAGAGATAGGATCGAACGATTTTTATAACCTCCACCATACTATTGAGGGTATATAAACTATGTCATTCCGTTTGCCAGTAGGCAGGTTAAGTTCATAAATGGGCCATGTAGGTCCACGTTTCATATAGCCCCCATAAAACGGTATCTCCCGATATTCGTTATTTTGATGATTTCAGCGACACTATTTACCGGAATTATTTCAAAGTTTGTATTTGAAGTTCGTAAAGGATGCTACAGCCTAAATCAGAAAATTGTCTGTACATGTCAACGTCTTCGTATAGCCCCCATATAACCGTACCTCCGATATTCGGTATTATGATGATTTAAGTGAACTATTGGCCGGAATTGTTTAAATTTGGCATATGAAGTTCGTAATATTTACTACATTCTACGATAGAAAATTGTCTGTGCAGGTCCACGTTTTGGTATAGCCTCCATATAATGGTACCACCTATATTCGGTAGTTTGATGATTTTTGCTACATTATTCACCGATTTGAATACCCTCTACCTTGGTAAGGAGACTATATTAACTTTGTCATTTTGTTTGTAACAACCCTAAATATTTATAGTATAAAGTATAGATTCATAATCAGTACAAAATTCTAAGTCGAGTTAACGATGTCCGTCTGTTTCTCTGTCTATCCGTCTGTTGAAATCACGATACAGCCCACGTTATTTGACGTAGACCTTCAAAATTTGGCAGAAAAAATTGTATTGTATCTAGGATGGTTGGTATTGAAAATGAGATATATCGGTCCACGTTTTCGTATAGCCCACATATAACAGTAAATCGCGATATTCGGTATTTTGATTATTTTTGTATGGTATAATGGGTTCTAGCTCGTGTGGCGAAACATTGAAGGTATAGGTCCACGTTTGGTATAGACCCCATTTTTGCCACTTTTTTCACGGATTTGTCTAAAAATTGGTCTTTGTAGGTCGTGCTGGGTTCTAGCTTGGTATAGCCCCCATACAACGGTAGCTCCCGATATTCGGTATTTTAATTATTTTTGTCACATATTTTTTCGCGGATTTGTCTACAAATTGGAATTTTTTGGTCATGATATATTCTTGCTCTTGTGACGAAACATTGTATGTATAGATCCACGTTTTGGTATAACCCCCATATAACGGTACCTCTCGATATTCGATACTTTGATAAAAATTGGCATTTGTAGACCCCATACAACAGTACCTACCGATGTATGGTATTTGATGATTTTTGCCACACGGATTTGTCTGAAACATGGTCTTTGTAGGTCATAATGGGTTCTAGCCCGGTGTTAGAACATTGAATATTTAGTTTTACGTTTTTCTAAAGCGCACATATAACTATACCCACCGATATTCGGTATTTTGATATTCCTAGTCACAAATACGCACATAATTGTTTTCAAATTTGGTATTTGATAGATGACAATCCTTGAAATATACAATTTTCTATAGAGGTTCCCGTTTTGGTATGGCCCCATATAACGGCTTCGCTCACTTCATGGGTTTTTGATAAACTTAATTGCATTATGCCAATGTTCTTACTAGTATATTAAGTTTAAGGTGAAACAAGTTTGAATTCAGATATAAAAAAAAATATCTAGGTATTAAAAATTCAGCCCTGCCGACTTTATGTTTTTTTACTGGTTTTTTTTAAGTTTCGCAATATTATAATGGCTTTGTTTTTAAAATTTTAACAGAATTTTTAGCGGATTTTTTTTAAATTGCAAAACTCGTTCCAAATTGTGGAGGTTATTCAAAGTTCTTCCATCCGAACTTACAACTATTTTACTCGTTTCATTTTATTTTAATATGTAAAAGAAAATTCCCTTAGTCCATTTGAAGAATCTTTATAAAATCACATTTTGAGTACAATTATGCATGTCCATTCCAATGCGTAGGGGTCAATTTATAGGAATTTTAGTGCATACGACGGCGATATGTAATTCCCCCAAAGCCGTAGAATTCACTTCATAATAAAGTGTTCAGCAGAAAATAGTTGATACTGCCGAGAAATACACTTGACAAATTTCAAAAATTCACGAAATCGGTGCAGATTTCGCTATAGCTCCAATATATCATCGTCTGTTTTTAAAGCATTTTGTTCACAAACAGTATAATATCAGCCCAAATAAGATGCATCTTGGTAGACGCATCGGTAAATTTAGCTAGGAAAACAGTATTCTACTTTAGGTAGAAATCGGCCAATTCTGGTCTCCGAAACGCGAAATAACACGACCGGGGAAATGATTGATGCAACAATTGACACATGGCGCTGTCATTCATTTCATCAATTCTAAGAAGAAAATGGTTATCATTTCACGATACCGAGCACCATTGGCCGTTTGCTCTTGATCTGCCTCATTTTAATGACACATTGAGGATGAATTTGCATCTCGTAAATTACTCGAACATTCGCACCCTCACCCCAAATATGACAATTCTGCCAATTGACGAAGCCATCAAAATGGAAATGGGCCTCGTCACTGAAAATGATTTTATCGACAAAAACAACATTTCATGTTGTTTTCTCCAATGTTTCTTCCGATTTACAATTCATTTAGCAATGCTATTTGGTATGAGAAGCTTCGTGAAATATACATTTACTTCAGCCGAGTTTAATAGGAATCGACTAAGATATAGCCTTTATTAAAATCACCCTAAACGGTAGCACTAAATTAACGACCTCATGATGTCGAGATTGCCAAACATTACCATAACACCATAAATATATGTTGGGAGCCCAGAGCGATTGTTATAATCGATAACACTATGTAAATCTGTCGATCCACCTGTACCTCTAGATCATGATAGAGGGGGTAAATATGTCTATCACATGATTCATTAAAGATGAATAATGTTTGATACTTAAAAACTTAGCATCTTGAGATCACGACAGAAGGTAGAATATTTAAGTTAGATATTTATTACTTACGATGATTAATATTAAAGGAGGTATATCAGTCCCCGTTCAGGTTTATCCCTCATATAGCACTCGCTTCTCCCCTCTGACACTCAAAATTTTGCATGTTTTTGCTACTTATTCAACGGTATATCCAGAAATTCCTCACGCGACCAGTTCGAATTTTGATGCATTGTTTTTCATTTTCCAATCAAATTAGTATTTTAGCGTTTCAGCTTCTCAGAGGATATAAATCCACTATTTGATGTGATATTGATCAAATTCCGTAAATCTTGAGGGCCGGCACTTCCCCGATTCTCAATTACCCAATATGCGACCAAATGAGCTGAAATTTATAAATTTTTATTCTTATTGTATGAAATTTTGCATAAAAATTAAGAAGGCCTACGTTTTGATATTAGCTCCACAAAGATGTGTTGGTCGATTTAGGTTCGAAGCCGCAGCTACCATTTTATTGTGCACCAATTAGATTTTCTTCGCTTTCAAAACCAAAACAAAAAATATTACAAAATTTTAAATTTTTAACAGAAAGTCAAATTGGAAAAATCTCGTATGACAAAAAATATGACAAATGTAATGTAAAAAAATTTAATTATTCACATTTTTATTGACATATTTTTATGGATATTTTTAGAGTTTATCCTTTTCTGCCAAGAGACCCTTCCGAATTGGTGTGAATTGCTTAAATCCTTCCAGCCGTTTTATATACACCGATTTTTGGGAAAAGTGATTGCGATATAGTTTTATACAAAAGATATAGTTTTATACTTAATATTTACGGTATAAAATTAACATCAATTTTATGTTTGTAAAAAATTCTTTTTTGTTTTCGAAAAATTTAATACTTTTTTGGTAAATCAAAATTCCCAAAGAAAATATTTTTCAGTCCTTCAAATAGAGTCCTTGAGCAGTCAAAGGTGATCGTTACCGGGCCATGTTGAACGAGTTTACAAAAGATTAAGAGTAGGACATTAACACATTTGGTTTCAACAGGACGACACAACACGTCACACAATCAAAAAACAAAACAAAAAATACGTACAAAGAGAACCCAATATTTTGGGATATATTTCGTTACATTTAATATGAAGCATTAAGAATTAATAGAGTGTTTTGCAGTTTTTTGTTCGATCCCAACGCCACTCTTACCCGCTCCTGCTGACCGAGGGGGCACTTCCCCAAAAAGTAGGGAGCGCGTACACTCCATAGTTCGTACCATGGAAGGTATGTATTGAAGGGATATACAAGCTACAGTAAAATAGCAGCTGGTAATAGGAATAAAGGATTTGAAATACCAGCACACAAATATAAGGCAAATCTAGCAGCTCCTTTTATTACTTCAATAATTATTGGTTTAAAAATTTGGTCAATTGTGCCGATACACTTTTGGTAAAGTCCTTACATAAAGGTAAACCCTGCTTTTAAGATCTATAGTGAAATGTTGTGTAGAATATTTCTTCTTTGTCAGCTTCAGACATCAGCTCAAAAAAAGGCCGCGGAAAAATATTATATAAAAATTTTGGAAATATATTTTTTTGTTGGAAATATTTTTATACCCTCCACCATAGTATGGAGGGTATATTAAATTTATTATTATTGTTATTATGTTATGTTATTACGTTAGTAACACCTCGAAATATACATTATAGACCCCACAAAGTATATATATATTCTTAATCAGCATAAAATTCTATGTCGATTTAGCGATGTCCGTCCGTCTGTGGAAATCATTCTAGTTTCCGAACGAAGTAGCTTAATAAAATTTTACTCAAATGTAAATTATGTCTGCAGGACTTTTGGTATTGGAAATGGGTTATGTAGGTCCACGTTTTGGTATAGCCTCCATGTTATGGTAAATCCCTTTTTTCGGTAATTTTGTGATTTATGCGACATTTATCACCGGATATGTTTCAAATTTGGTATTTGAAGTTCAAAATGGATACTACAGTCTAAGACAGAAAAATGTCTGTGCTGGTCCACGTCTTCGTGTAGCCCCCATATGACGGTACCTCCCGATATTCGGTACTTTGACGACTTTAGGTACAATATTCACCGAAATTGTTTGAAGTTACGTATTTGAAGTTCCAAATAGGTACTACACCCTAAGACAAAAATTGCCTTTGCAAATCCAGGATTTCGTATAGACCCCATATAACGGTTGATGATTTTAGATAATTTATTCACAGGATTTTTTTACAAGAAGAATTTTTAACGGTTATTATTTTTTTTTTTTTGAAAGTTTCCAAAATCATTCTAAATGGTATTCAATTTAATTTTGTTGGCCTATTAGTTTTTGTAGAGAAAAATTTGATTTTTTTTAAATTTACTAATAAAAAAAAAATTATTATTATTATTTATTTTCTTTTTGAGAAAAATTTTTTTTCCGTATTCGCCGCATTTTTTATTACTTCTGGGAGTTAATAAATGCAAACTAGGCTGTGAAAACTCCAAATGAATTTGATAGCACTAGTCCTTATATAAAGACAATGCTGGATTTTTGTTATTTTCCAGGGTCTTGGCCATATTTGCCAATCGATTAGGCCCTTGCGAAAGTTTTGAAGTGGTCATCGCAGCATACATCAATTAAAGTTCATATTTCGAGGTAACTCCTTACTTTTAAGATCTGTAGTGAAATTTTGTTTAGAATGTTTATTCTTTCTTTTACACTTTTTGTCATAAACGATATTTTATGGAACTTTAAGGCATCAAATTGAAAAAAGGCCGTGGAAAAATTAGATCACAAAACGAATTAATACCCTCTGCCGATTTTCCATATATATCCCATAAACCGATGTATTCCACATTTGTATTAGATCTACAATTGATAGAAATTTTAAGAAGTATCTGACTAGTTTCGCATTTTATAAGGGTTAGACGTTTCTAAATGACACTTAGATGTAGACGTTTCTAAATGACACTTAGATCTACCATTCAGACCATATTCAGGAAGACACCACTAGATTGACTCCAAACGAATTTGGTCCTTTGAGACCTAGTGCCTAAAACCGTTATTTTGATAAGTCTTGTTGTGTCCGTATCAAATGGTATGGATGAGATAAAACAACTGCAACAAAGTCAAACATCAAAAAATTTTTTTTTCAATTTTACTGAACGAATAAGTTTAGATTTGTTCGAATTGGGCACCTTGGAAACGAATTAAGGTGATCGACACATTGGTATTTTTTGAGCCAAATTTGCTTTCCGAAATACTTCAGACACAATAGTCCAACGGATTGGTATCCGGAGATTTTGGTGGCCATTGTGCGCTGGAAATGAAGCGAGGAACTTAATTTTGTAACCATTCTTGGGTGGCGTGTGCTGAGTGCGATGGTGCTAAGTCCTGTTGGATTGTCCAAGGTCTGCGGCCAAAATGTTTGCATTTATTTTCGCGATAATATTCGGCATTTATTCTGATTTGTTCGAGCGGAAAGCGGCTGTTATGGCGGCCCACACCATCACCATGGCCGGCGCTTGAGTTCTACTGGCAAACCGAAGGTGCATATTTCCAGCTGACCTCTTTGGCAAGTATTTTGTTTTTTTACAAACTGCTGGACAATAAATGTTTTCTCATCGGAGAAAACCAAATTCGGCAGTTCACCACTTACGGCCGAGCGAAGCAACTCTTTAGCTCTTTGAGTCTATTTTCTTTCTGTGCCTGTGTAAGTTCTTGCACTTTTTGGAATTTCAATGGCTTCACCCCGAGCTCATTTTTCAATATTTGCCGATTGGAATATTGCGTTATGTTCAGCTTACGAACCATTTTTCTTTCTTATATTCAGGTCCACGTCTTCGTGTAGCCCATATATAACGGTACCCTCGATTTTAGTGATATTATTTAGCGGAATTATTTCAAATTTTGTATTTGAAGTTCTTAATGTGTGCTACAGGCTATGACAAAAAAATTTGTATGCAGGCCCACGTCTTCGTATAGGCTCCCTATGATGGTACCTCCCAATACTCATTGATTTTAGTGGCATTATTCAGCGGAATTGTTTCAAATTTGGTATTTGAATTCGTAATGGGTACTACAGCCTATGACAAAGCGGAAGCAGGTCAATGGAGACTATACGACTCCATATAACAGTTTGCTGCTTTTTACTTGTTTTTTTTACCAACTGCACAAAATCTGAAACCATCTATACTAAATTTGTATTGTGTATTTGGTTTCATTGAAATAATCGTCCATGGTAATAATAATAATCTACCATGTAATCGTCTATTTTCATACAATTCTTTATTCGTAGTTTGTAAACAAAAAATTGAAGAAAATTTATTTAAAAAACAATGTCAAGAAACCCGCACAACATAAAGTAAAACGAAGTGACACTTTAAACAATCCCCCTATCGAGTTGATAGCGAAAGTATTTTGAAAAGAAAATCTCAAACGAAATAAAGAATAATACACAAAAGGATGCAATGACATGAAAATATTTAACCTTTTGAATAAATATGGACAAGCTATGGTCCTTTTGAATAAACAACCGGATATATCCAGCTGGCGCCCAAATGAAAACCATCTTCTGTCTATATCTGAATAATGCAAAGAGCATAAAGTAAAGAAATAAACAAGTCCACAACCAAAAAAATATAAGAAAAACTAACAGAAAAAATAAATAAATAAAACAACAACAAGAAGACCAACTGCAATGCTTTACGCTTTGGGGGCAAATGCGGACATTGTGTTTCATTGAATTCCTAAACCGAGTGTTTTAAAACGAAATTCAAACAAACAAACAGGCCAACAGACCAGCAAACAGTACTGCCGTCCAGCATCATCAACATCATCAGTGTCAGCGTCATCAGTCAAAGATCTACAGCCATCTCTTTATGAATAGCAAATGGATTTGGGTACTGCACAAAGGTAGGTACGCCATGTCTCTGGAACAAATCCGCCGACAACATCAACAAACCCGTATTTTGAATGTTGCACCATTATTTTTATGTGTATTTTTAGCTTGTTTCGTTTTGCTTTTGTGTTCTACTCGGTGAATTTATTATCGCCTTTTATTTTATTAATATTGTACAAATTAAAGGATTTCAGTGTGTCCTTTGATGTGCCAGCTAGTTCTTTATTCTCTCTGTCACACGTTCGTTCACATTCCGCAAATGCGTAAGCAGGTTTTTCTGTTGGGTCATTCGCTGTCGCTATCGCTGTTGTTGCTGTAAAAACCAAAGTCCTTTGATGTCAAAAAACATAATTTTGTACATAATTTTATTAATTTAGTTCGCATTTGCTCTACACTCAGTCCCTATCCGTAGTTTTGTGTTTTTTTGGATTGTATTTCACCAGAGATTAGAACGGTCGCTGAACTGTGAAATGGAATTATTTGACCCTTTCATTACCCAGGGGAATGGAGAATTGTGTGAATAAAATCAAAGCGTAATGTTTGGGAAAAAACGATGGGATTTCAAAGAATTTGGCTTATCTAAGCATAAAAAAGCGTTTGATTCCATTAAAAAATAATATTCTCCAGTTTTATTTCAATTTATATGGAAATTAAAAAAGGACACATGTTACCAGCAGG